TCCTCTTTGCCCTGGGCCCGGGGTGGGCAAGCTCGGCCCTGTGTCTGTCTCAGTGCAGGGAGACAGGGCGTGAGTCGAGTCCTGGCTTTGGGGACTGGTCAGGGAGGAAGACACCGGGTGCGCCTTCCTCTGCTGGAGGCTGATGCTGATGTGCTTTCTCTTCTCCCCAATTCCAGTGTAACTTCTTTAAGCGGACCCGCTACTACCGGATCATGCCCAAGTACCACGCGGTGCGCATCCGGGAAGAGGAGCGCTACCCGCCTCCAGGGGGCGCTGTGCCCACCAAGAAACACTGGGTCACCAGCTGGCAGACCCGGGACCGATACTACTGACATCCTCCTAGCCCACGCGACTCCCCACATCCCGTTCTTCCTATTTATCGTTAAATTATGCCTCTGACAGCCCACAGGGGGCACCACCGCTGGCCATCTCCCTGCAGGACTTGCCATGCCAGCACACTGTGCCCTGTGTCGGGGTACACGGGGGGCTCGCTGCTCCTGGCCTGTGCTTATGCAACACGGATGGTGCATGGACTCGCTACATGCCAGCCTTTGCCCGTGCCAAACCAAGGGCCTCTGCCAAAGCAGGAGGAAAAGGCCCCCGCATGGTGACACCCCCCCTTCACACTGGGTCCACCCTGAGCCATACCCACTGGACCGACTTTGCTGCCGAGAGTAAACTACTGACAGGGCCCAGCTGTGAGTCCTCGGCCCCTATGCACCACAGCTGGGGTCCCGCCAAGGGCTGCCCAGGGGCCATTCTTGGGACCTACCTGCTCACCCCAGAGAGCGAATAAGCCAGAAAGCAGGTCCCAGAAAGGCTTCCTTCCATGAGTCTGTGACGCCTTTCTCCTGGGCCATGGGCCAAACTAGCAGGGAACACAGCCCAGAGGGACAGAGAGACAAAGGGAGGGTGCAGATGGGACACTCTGGGACGGCCCCGGAGCATGGTGGCAGCCCTTGGGGAGCAGGAGACCAGCCCTGGGCCAAGCAGACACTACAGGATGAGGAGATACCAGTTCCCACCCATCCCTTCCACCCCAGCCTCCGAAGTGCCTGGGAGACCCTGCAAGATGTCAGAGGGAGCGACGCTTGAATGTAGGGCAGGGACAGAGCCCTGTCCCCAACCCAGCTGGCCAGGCCCCACTCCGTCCTCACTGACCGTGGAATGGGGCCTAGAGGTGGCGTTCTTGGCTGTCCTTGGCTTTCAGAGACACCCTGGCTGCCCCTCCTTCGTGGGCTGTGTCTGAGGCCCCTAGCAGTTGAGGCTGGTCCCCAGTATCTCCACTGGCTGCCCCTCCTCCTCCATGGTACTGTAGCAGGGGGCTCCCCCCTTGTGCCTTCTTTGTATACAGGCTTCTCACGGCAACCAATAAACAACTCCCAGTTTGTACACCTGCCTCTGCCCCACATGCCTGGCCCTTAGCAGCCCTAGTTCCATCTGAATATATCACCCAGCTAAGCCCTGGCCTACAAAGCCTGGTGCTGGGGTCTCCGAGGCTTGGGGATGATACTGACCCCTGCTCCTGGTCACAGCTCATTGATGAGATCCTAAAGTCAAGATACAGGAAGAGTCCTCACTGGGTGGAATCCACCGTGGCCCTGGGAAGTCCTGGTCAGCGTGGAGGGAGGCTGGGTACAGGGACAGAGACAGAGCCCTTGGCCTCTGTTCCCCGTCAATGCTCCTGGGCACTCAATGAGGGCATCAGAAGGTGAACCAGTGACCCGGGAGCTCTACTCTTCTGGAAGCTCCCCGGAAGTGTGTGGGTACTGAGCTTAGGTAACTGCACTGCTTGGGTAAGCAACCCCTTTTGCACCCCACATTTTCTGGGGTTCCTGAGCTTCCCCTTCTGTGCCAAGACTGTCCCCTCCACACAGGCCCTGGGATGGAGCAAGGCTCCCCCTGCCCACCCTGATGTTTTTGTCCCAAGTTGTGGTGCAGGTCCTCCTGTTAGTTTTCCCCAAGGCTGGGCTGGGGATGTAGCTCAGTGGTAGAGCGCTTGCTCAGCATGTACAAGGTCCTGGGTTCAATCCCCAACACCAGGGAGGGAGAAAGGAATTTTCCCCAAGTCTGTGACCTCTACCAAGACTACACTGATGGCTGAAGTCACTGCCCAGTGAAGCATAGAGCCAAATCTCCAGCCGCTTTCACAGCCGTGGCCCCACGCCTCTCAGGAGTTCCACTCATCTACCTGGAAGTCTACCAACCTCAGCCCTGGCAGCTCTCTGCCCTCCACTCCCTCAAGCAGGGCCCAACGTGACAGAATGCTGGGCCCAGTGTCCAGTCCCTGGCCCCCTCACTTTCTGCACCGGGATTTGCCCATTCTTGGGATGATGGACAGAGATGCCCCATCCCCCAGGAAAATCTCACCCCCTACCCAGAGCAAGCTCTCAGAACCCTCTGATCAGGGACCTTACTTGTTTTCCAGAATCTGGAATTCACTTGTTTGGAAACAACAGCTCACGTGGGTTCTGAAAGCCCAGCTAGTGCTGTCCTTATAACCATTTCCTGCCTAAGTCAAAGCGGGGTTATATGTGCTGCTGCTTGGGTAAGAACACACACTCCTGCGAATAAGTCTTTTGCAGGATTAGTGCGCTACTCTTACATGAAAGAAATGTAAGTGGCAGAGATGCCACAATACCCACCACAACAGGACCCTCTGTTCTGCTATGCTACACTTCCTGAGGTCCTTGGAGTGGCAGCACTTCTACACCCCTGTCGAGGTGATTCTTCCCCTTCGGTGAACAGGTGGGGACGGCCCTTCCGGGGCTCTCCAGGTTGGATGAGGCCATGTGATTAATTTAGGCCAATGAGATTGAGCGGGGGCAGTGGCTCACTTGTAGGTTGAAGCATTTATTTCCGGGCGTGGGGGCTTTTAGCGCTCCTTCCCCTGACCCCGCAGCTGTGATAGCTTGTGCTGAAAAAAGCGCTGGGTCCCCGAGAGACCTCCACCAACCCACATTGTGCACGGAGTTGGACATATGGGAATTGAGTTTTTGTCAGCTCACCTAATCCACCACGGCTGCTGCCCCTGCATGGACCCAGCAGCAAATTCTGCAGAAAAGGGATTTTTACCCAAATACAGAGCCCACCTTACGGAAGTTCAGTTCTCAGGAGAGGGTCATAGGCAATCTCTGTTCTGCTCCAACAGAGTCGTGACCTTTTCCTTGTTACTTTAATGTTGACAGTAATAGTAGCTGCCATTTAGAGCGAGGCACAGTGCTTACATTTTTGTGTATCGTGTCCCATGCACTCCAGCTGGCACTTGACTTTATTGAGGCCACCAACTCACCTCCTAATTGGCAGCCCATCAATGTTTGGGGTCTTCTCGATATCTCTGAGGCATGTCCCCCTGCCGGCCCCAATTCTTATTTCACCCTGACCTTCCTACGATGTGCCAGGCACTGTACCAGGTACTGGAGAGAGAGAGGCGACTAAGTCACAACCTGTGGCTTCCTGGAGCATAAATTCCAATGTGGAGACAGATCCGTCAGCAAGCTAATGCCACTGAGTGTGATCAGCACTCACACCTCGTTAATATCAGGGTCCTAAGGATGCTAAGCCAAGACCTGAAGAATGGACAGGTGACATTCTGATACTACAATTGATTGTAGCCAAAAGGCTGAGAAACGTTGATAGGTGATATTCACAAGAAAGAATGACCCAAACAGACAAGACGTCATTTGCAATGGTTTGGACGTTAGAAATGGGGTCCAGCCGCAGGTACGTGGGCCTGGAGAGAGAGGCCAAAGCAGCTCATAGGACAACTGGAAACGCTCCAGCGAGGAGTGGAGGGAAGCAACTGGTCAGATCTGTAGCTGAGAACGATCCTTAAGTATCGGCTTTCCTATTTAGAAAGTGGGGCTAATAACAGTACAGTGGAACTGTCTTAAGAATTAAATGAGACAATGCATGCACATGGTGTGCCTGCTACCTGGAAGATTATCCATTCTGCTAGGAGTCCTTCGAAGGGAAATCTGGAGCCTTGCTGTGTTGGCTACGATCGCAATCTGTCGTAATTTATTTACTTATGCAGCCATCTCCCAAACTGAGAAATGATTGAGGGAGAGTCTGTGTCCTGATTCTGTCTGTCTCCTCGTCTCAGCACAAAGGCTAGCACACACTAGGGTCTTGCCAAGTGTGGGTCAAAGGGGTGAGTCGGGCTCCAGGCCCGGGATGGGATATACCACATTCTACCACAAGATGGCGCGCGACATGGCCCACAGAAGGGGCGGAGCTGCTTGGGGGAGGGGCTCCCCGACCCCCACCACTCCCTCCTGGACCTAGGTCTCAAGAAGCCCAGAGACTGAGACAGTCGGTTTCTCGGGTGGTCGCGCAAGACGCCCAAGGCGTGATGTTTAATCACATGAACTAGATAATAAAAATGAAAGTATTTCCAAAATTAGCCCTGATTGTAGTAGCTGCCTCCACCACTGCTAGTCGTGAAGGTTTTGACTCCTTGTTTTTCACTCGATAAAGGAAAACGCCACCTTTTCCAGAGCCACTTGGACCTTTATGGAAGCGAGTCGGTTGCATACGGATCGTCACTGCCTTGCATTCTGTTTCCGAATTTGGCAAATAGTCTGGGTCAGTCATCGAGCGGGGCGGGGGGAGTCAGGACAGGTGAATTGGGTGCCTTTGTGGGGAAAGAAGGATTCAATGAAAGCTACTCAGACAAGTCAGGGAAGCAAGGGTTACAAAGCGCCAGCGGGTGAAGGACGAAAGAGCAAGGGAAAGGCAGTGTGTTGCAGAAAGCGAAAGGCTGGCTTGGTCTGGGGAGGAAGGGGTTAACCGGGGTTCGCCCCTCCAAGGGCGGGGAGGATTCAGCGGACCCTGGAGTGGCTTCGACTCGGCCTCCTAAAACAGGCCCTTCGCCAGCGAAGACAGGGTTAAGAAGGCGGGCCTGGAGGGAAGCCACGTGCCGGGGCGGACGGCTATTGGTTCTGCCGGAGTTGTTTGTGCAAGGCCATTGGCGCAGTCGGGGCGTCGCGGTGGTCTGATTGGCTGGGCGTCGGAGGGGTCCCAGGGCCGGGACGGGAGGAGGCTGCCGGACCAAGTAGCCCGGCCGGAGTGGGCCGAGCGGGGTTCGTGCGCTACCCGCGCGGGGACAGCAGCCGAGCCGCGGGCGCCGACGCCATGCGCTGGGTTAGGGCGCTGCTGAAGAACGCGTCCCTGGCAGGGGCGCCCAAGTACATCGAGCACTTCAGCAAGTTCTCCCCGTCCCCCCTGTCTATGAAGCAGTTTCTGGACTTTGGTATGGAGGGGTTGGGGGGCCGCGCAAGAAGGGCTCTCAGGAAGGAAGGGATCGACCCAAAGAGAGGCCCCGAGTGGCAGAGAAAGCAAGAGAACAGGCAGGAAGGGGTTAACGGGCAGGCAGGGCTGGCCCAGCCCTGAAAGAGTGAAGGGTGTCCCGGGGGAGACTGTCCCCTGGGCTGTTAATGGGAAGGGGGCGCTGGGTAGGAGCTCTAGGTGTCCACCCGTGGTCTTGGAGGGTAAGGGACAGGCTGTGATGTCAGGACAGGAAGGGAGTTGGATCCCATCCAGGCATAAAAACCTAATGGGGTTTGTTCTGGGGACTCTTAAGAGCGGGGACAGGGCCGGGGATTTAGCTCAGTGGTTCCACCGTCTGCCTCACAAGCGCAAGGTCCTGAGTTCAATCCCTGGTACAAAAAAAAAAAAGAGTGGGGACAGAGAGAAAATGGGGGGGCTGCGGGTGGGAGAAACAAGGTGGGGTTGGAAGGTGCAGCCGTCTAGAAGGAGACCTGGGGTGGACACAAGAGTCAGACCCTCTGGGGAGAGCAGGAGAGAAAACCCGGGGCGGCTGGGGAAGGGGTCTCTGCCTTCAGGACCCAGTGGCCCTGGCTCGAGTTCCTCCACCGGTTCCAGCTCCCTAGTGGGCAAGGACACTTGAAGATCAAATCTATTCCAGTGGGGCAGCTTGCCCCCAGCTGGGCGGAGGCCAAGGCCAACTGTGAGGTGGTCCGGCTGCTTGTACCCTTCCTTGGCTACCCCTGGTCCCTGGCTTACGATTGCCCCACTACCAGTACTCCAGAGGTGGCTCTGGGGCAGGAGGAGGCGGTGCCAGTGTGGCAGCTGCTACAGACATCGTGTAGGCCCTGTCTGTCCACAGGGTATTTCCGTGGTGCCAGCTAGGGGTTGGGAAGGGGGCCCAGGTCTTTCGGGAGTTGAGTTGACAGTGGCTGGTTTAGGTTACAGCTGTGTCACTGACTGTAGGGGGCAGCCAAGATAAATGGCACCTGTCTTCCTGCCCTCTTGCGCTGTTTGAGTCTTGAGCTTTGCCCATGTTGGAAAGCCTCCTGGGCTTGCTCCCAGCCCCTAGTACCCAGTACTGAACCCCAGTTACAGAGCTGTCACAGCTGTGAGGGTTTCAGTATGCTTGTACAGTGAGAGGGAAACAGGCTTTCAAAAGATAGTGGCTAGCCTGCCTGGCAAGCGCAAGGTCCTGAGTTCGAGCCCCGGCTCAGGGGGAAAAAAAAAAAGGATGGTGACATGCCCTGGGTGACAGAGTTGGAAGCCGAACCTGGACAGAGCCAGGTCTGTCTCTGGGCTGTGACCTTGTCAGCCCTGTGCCTCCTCATCTTGACCACTGGCTGAGGTCCCCATTTGCCTCACAGATGGGCATTGATATAGAGTCAACTTCAAGCGGCAAGGACCAAAGTTCGATCCCGGTACCAAAAAAAAAAAAAAAAATAGAGTCAACTCTACAGTGGGCACCCATCACCTCCCCAGCCTGGGGAGGTGGCCTGGGACAGGGACAGCGCTGGGTCCCTGCAGCTGAAGGTGTCCAGGCATAGCTCCCCCAACCAGGGCTCAGCCCCAGGAGGGTGGCAGTCCTGAGCCCCTCTGTCCCCTGGTCAGCCCCAGAACAGGTCCTGCGGGGAGGGAAGGAAAGAGATATCCCCGGTGCCCATGGTTCCCGGCTATGTGCTCACTCTGTCTCGCCCCACTCCCAGGCTCCAGCAATGCCTGCGAGAAGACTTCCTTCACCTTCCTCCGGCAGGAGCTGCCTGTGCGCCTGGCCAACATCATGAAAGAGATCAACCTGCTTCCTGACCGGGTGCTCAGCACGCCCTCGGTGCAGCTGGTACAGAGCTGGTGAGACCCTGCCCGCTCCACCACCCTGGCCCTGGTGGGGGCCTCCAAGGAGCTAGGGAGTCACCCAGCACACATGGCGTTGCAGGCCAGAGCAGAGGTGAAGGCCAAGTCCCTAGGGCCCTATGTCTGGGTCAGCCTTGGTCTTAGCACCCCCCTTTCTCTGGGAACCCAGGAGCCACCCAGGAAGTCAGATTTCAGTCAGATCCCCAAGGCAGGCGAGCGTCAGCAGTGGCCACCAGCCCTGGCCTGGCAGGCAGTGTTTACTTAGGGTAACTTTTTGGGAAGCTGAAATGAAGGGAATCTTAGAACAAATGATGTCATCCAGGCTACATGTCTAAGTATTTCGAATGTTGGAAAACACTCAGGTAGACGTGGGGTGACACAGTCCCTCCCCAAAGCGCTTTGAGGGCAAAAGCCACACGTTCATTGCAGGTAGCTGTTGCAGGAGCTGGGAATCTTGGGAAAGTTCACTCGGGAGCTGGAGCGCTGTCCAGGGTTAAGTAATGGGCCCTGTCAGCCAATGGCCTGTCGAGTGGAGCATAAACAAGGGAGTGCCCTTCCCTGGCTCTGCTGCTGGCAGATCATCAGTGGGCTCCAGTGGTGCCCTGGCAGAGTCCTGTTTTCAGAACATGCTGTGTGGGATGACTGGTTTCCTCTTGACTTGAGTTCATTTGGCCCTTCTGAGCCCAGCACTGTGCTGTGTCTACCACTGCCCTTGGAACCCCTGAACTCCAGGGAAAGGAAACTCCAGCCACCACTGAGTGAGCAAAGTGCAACCCAAATGGTTGGCTTTATTTAAATGAACAGTCAGAATACTAAAGTAACACGGATTGTTTCCACCCTACCCTATCCCCGCTCACTGCAGAAGTATAATGTGCTCATTTTTTTTTTTTTTTTTGGTACCGGGGATCGAACTCAGGACCTTGCACTTGCAAGGCAGGCAGCAGAACCACTGAGCTAAATCCCCAACCCTATAATGTGCTCATTTTGACACTAAGAAAACACAAAAACATAGATGGAACAGGGCATAGTGATGCATACCCATAATCCCAGCACTCTGGGAGGCTGAGGCAGGAGGATCACAAGTTCCAGTTCAGCCTGAGCAGTTTAGCAACTCAGCAAGACCTGGTCTCACGATAAAAAAAAAAAAAGGGCTGGGAATGTAGTTCAGCTTGAAGAGCCTGGGTTAAATCTCCATGTAGAAGAAAAAAAGAAGAAAAAAGAAGTGGCAATCACGACCCTCCCCCATAGCCCTGCTGAGGTTTCATGAGGTCCCTTGGCACACCCCCCAGCACCCCGTCTGTGCAGGAATGAGCGTGCACCTGACTTTAAGGAAATTTGCTACCCAGAGAGAGGGCATTGCGCGTACAAGGCCAGGTATGTAGTAGGTGCACAATAAATACTGGTCAAAGGAGAAGTTGTAGAAAAGTGGAAATGGACACCAGAGGTGCCCAGAATGGAGGAAAGGGCCTGGTGGGCCTATCTGGGGACTCGCTCTGCGGACAGGGGCTGTACGGAGGAGCAAGTGGGATCTGAATGGAAGTGGGGTCTGGATTTCATGTCGCCCAACCAGGTCACCCCTCGCTGTGCCCAGGACCTCTGAGTCAACCAGCAGGTCCCCCCTGGGGTGGTGGAGTGGAAGGGGAGTGGAGGTGCCATCTGTTTCCCTGGCTGTGTCCAGCTCGCTGTCCTGGCTGCCGCTCTAGCTGGTGCCTAACTCCAGGGCAGGGCTTCTCAGGCCTCTAATTGCACATGGTGCCCTGGGACAGCCAGGGATCAGGGGGAGGGTGGGGAGCCACAGGATCTCCCCCGGGTGACTGCAGAGCCCCTTCCTGAAAGTCAGTGCTGCACGTGAGGGTTTGGAGCCTGGAAGTCATGTGAAGCAGCAGCAGACAGCCAGGGACCTGCTAAGGCATCAGGATGCTGAAGCAGTTGCAACTCACTGCGGTTTCCAGAGCCACAGGCATCGGCTGCAGCAGGAGAGACTGTGGTGGGAGGCAGGAGGGACTTCCTGGAGGCCAGGTGGTTGTCTGTGAGCATGCAGAGTGCTTTCTCTAAGAGCATCCTGCAGCCGGCTGGGATGATGGAGGTGGTGAAGAGGGCAGGGTCTGGGAGAGAAGAGGCAACTCAGACGCCATTAGCCTGAGTGTGCCCAGTAAGGAACAAGACCCGTCTCTGGAAATTAGAAGTGTGCTATGCAAATGCAGGCATAGTAGTGCAGTGGTTACTGCTAATCCTCAGCAAGCTTCTCCTCAGCTAGGGACAGGTTCTGGGCAGAGTTACCATCAGTGAAGAATTCCTGGCCTAAGTAGACCTCCTGCACTATTTCCACTGGACAGTCTCGGGGTGGCAGGACCATTATTTGGAGCTGACAGGCAGGTGGGGGTGCCAGGGGTGCATCCAGCACTCCCTTTCGGCCTGGACTGTGAGGGGCAGACAAGGCTTCCATTCCCTGCAGTCCAGGACACGGAGGCCTGCACTGCCACCTCTCAGTCCCCATACTGGTGGCACTGCCTGCTGTCAGCCCATCCTGGTGTCCTGTGCTGCAGGACCAGGCCTTCCTTCTGCCCTTGGAGGTTCTCTGGGAGTCTGACCTGCCCGCCCCCAGGGCTGGCTAGCATCCTTGCCCTGACCCTCACCCCACCAGCCCTGAGTCCCAAAAAGGGGCCCGGGGTCCCCTATGTCCCCATCCACTCCCACATCGCATACTCACAGGTTTTCTCCCACATCCCCCTCTCCTTCTGAGACTCCCAGGAGCTTGATGCTTCTGGGGATGAGGTTAGGGACAAAGGACTTGGAGTTACGCGGGGTGGGGAGAGAACCCAGCCCTGCACCGAGATTCCTCCGGAAGCTGGGTCTAGCAGTAGCGCCAGTGGCCTCACAGGGTCAGTGTGGAGGTTGGTGGGGGGCAGGAGAGCACATAGCAGAGCCCAGGCAGCTGCCCTCCTAGTGCCGGTCCAGAGGGGGAGCAGTGGGCCCCATGGAGTGAGTCGGGTCGCCCTGGGTTGGACGCCCAGCCTGCTTCTCTGTGTGGCTGGGGCTCAGTCCCTGCCCTGTCTGAGCAGGCAGAAAGTCTTTGCCTGCAGCAGGGAGGAAGTGCTTCATGCTTTGGGAGCCCCAGGTAGTACCCAGACCTGAGTGCCCATTCCTAGCCCCCGAGGTGCCGCTTTCTAGGGTGTGGCTTTCTACACAGTGTGGTGTAGGGGGTGCTGAAGGTCTCCTGGGGCTCAGGGGTTTCACCCAGCTCGTGACAGTTTTTGAGCCACCAACCTAATAAGAGCAAGCACCCAAAGAGTGCTCACTGTGTACAGACACTGTGCTAATGATCAGGTTTTTGTTTTTGTTTTGTTTTTTATTTTTGGTACCAGGGATCGAACTTAGGACCTTATGCTTGCCAGGCAGGCGTCGGCACCACTGAGCTAAATCCCTGGCCCAATGATCAGGTTTTAAAAACCCCGTTTTCCTAATGAAACCGGGGCCCAGAGAGGTTCCATGACTGACCCAGGGCCACACAGCTTGACTGTGTGACTCAGGACCTGACTGTCCTGACTCAGAGCCAAGCCTGAGACCTGGCAGAGCCACTCCAAGCTGGTTCTTCCACCCTCTTCTCTGCTGTCTTAGCAAGAGAGGGAGGGGTGTTCCGGGCCGAGGAACAGTGTAAATGGCTGCTGGGTGCAGTAAGGGAAGGGGCTCAGACGGCCCCTGGGCCAGACTCCTCTCTGGGGTCTGGGCTGGGTCTCCTGATTTCCACGCCCATCCTGAGCCTTCGATTGTAGGATTCCGAAAGAGATGCTCAAAGGGGACCAGAAGACCGGAGATTTCCTTGCATAGCTTGCTGGGTTGTCAGGGAGGCTCGGCGCAGATGACACAGCCGGGGGAGAGCATGGCGCAGCTGTCACCAGGCCCAGTTCCGTGTGTCACCCACAGTGGGAACAGAACACAGTGAGGTCCAGCAAGGGGCAATGAGGACTGTGGCCCATCACACAGCTGAGCCCGAATCCCCTCCTGCCCTGCCAGGTACGTGCAGAGTCTGCTGGACATCATGGAGTTCCTGGACAAGGACCCTGAGGACCACCGCACCCTGAGTCAGTGAGTGAGGCCTTGGCGGGGCAGGAAGGCAACAGGGGTCGCAGCCCTGGGGCAGAGCAGGGGCAACCAAGCACTGTAGCTCAGGGCGAAGGCCCTGGGTTCAATCTCCAGTAAGGAAAACAAAACAACTGGAAGAGTCGGGGCTGGGGCCTGGCCGAGTGAATGTCTGCCCTCCCTGCAGGTTCACAGAGGCCCTGGTCACCATCCGGAACAGGCACAACGATGTGGTGCCCACCATGGCCCAGGGCGTGCTGGAGTACAAGGACACCTACGGTGACGACCCTGTCTCCAACCAGAACATCCAGTACTTCCTGGACCGCTTCTACCTTAGCCGCATCTCCATCCGCATGCTCATCAACCAGCACAGTGAGGCGGGGTCAGGGGGCGGCTGCTCAGGACCCCTGTCACTTGCTCTCACAGAGTCATGACCTCCAAATGTCTTCCTTTGGAGTTATTTGAGCAGGAAGAACTCACGTTTTTGGTTTTTTTTGGTACCGGGGATTGAACTTGGGTCCTTGCTCTTAAGCAACAGGCAGCGAAACCACTGAGCTAAATCCCTGGCCCAAAGAACTCACTTATGATGGCTGTGATTTGTCAATAATCACAGCGAATCCTCCTGGGAAGAGAAACTAAATAACAAATGTTTGGAATGTAATAAGTTTTTAAGGGGCCGGGGATTTAGCTCAGGGGATTTAGCTCAGGGGTTTTACCGCCTGCCTCACAAGCGCAAGGACCTGAGTTTGATCCCTGGTACCAAAAAAAAAAAAAAAGTTTTTAAGAGTGATAAAACTGTGCAGTGCCTATTATCCCACACTCTGGGAGGTTGAGGCAGGAGGATCGAAAGTTCAAGCCCAGCCTGGACAACTCAGTGACTTAGTGACCTCCTGTCTCAGAACTAAAAAATAAAAATGGTCTTGGGGGTGTAGCTAACCATGAAGACCCTGGGTCAATCCCCAGTATAAAACAACAAAGCCAAACCTAAATTAAAAAGCAGTATACTCAAGCCTGCAAAGGCCCCAGACGGCCTGAGCCAGTGATGGCCGGCAGAACTGAAGGCTGTGCCACATTAGGAAGGGAGCTGAGGGCAGCCTGGGAAAAGGGGGTGCAGGGACAGCTGTGCCCCAGCCAGCAGCACCCACTTTGTCCCCGTAGCCCTCATTTTTGAAGGCAGCACAAACCCGGCCCACCCCAAGCACATCGGCAGCATCGACCCCAACTGCAACGTGTCCGAGGTGGTGAAAGGTGAGCACCCTTCCCGCTGTGCCCCAGAGGAGGAGCCCCACGCTGCCCTGGCCGGAGAGGGTGGGCCACCCCAGTGGTGGGGCCACACCCCCAGGGGCTTGATGTTGGCCATAGCCAGTGTCACTGCTGGGGGCACCTGCTGGGGGCGAACCCCTCTCCGTGCCCTGAGAGCTGTCTCCTCTCAGATGCCTATGACATGGCCAAGCTCCTGTGTGACAAGTACTACATGGCCTCGCCCGACCTGGAGATCCAGGAGGTCAATGGTGAGCAGCGAGCTTGGCGTGTGTCTGTCTTACGGGGGCTGGGGACCAAGGTGAGGTGCGAGTCAGGGAGGGAGCAGCTTTCTAGATTGGGGAGCACCAGAGCTGAGGCAGGAGGATTGCAGAGAGTTCAAGGCCAGCCAGGGCTACATAGTGAGACCCTCCTGCCAAAAAAAAAAAAAAGAAAGAAAGAAAGAAAGAAAAGAAAAGAAAAGATAAAAACATCCTTAACTCACTGGGCAGCTGCTTCTTAAATATTTGGTGAACATTTATTGTAAACAAGACTGACCAGGTCTCGGTTCCCATCGAGGGTTACATTCTCAGTGCCGGGAAGGTTGGGGAATGGGGTCTTTAACCAGGAACAGCTAAACAAACAAAATCATTTCAAGTCATGATAAGAAGTCAGTAAAATAGATAGCAGGACAGTGAGCAGGGGAGTGCTGTGTGAGGTCAGTGTCAGTTTGGCGGCCCTCCCAGAACCCAGAGAGCAGTGGCTTCATGAAGATCAGGTTCTCTGCAGCCAGTCCGGGGTGGCAGTATCGGCAGTCACAGCAGGCCCTGCACCCCCAGGCTCGCTGAGGCCTGAGTTGAACATGTTGCTTCATCAGTCACCGCTGCCCCAGCTCAAGGGAGGCTGAGGATGCAGTCTAGCTGGGCAGCCATGTGCCCAGTTATGGCCACAGGGAGGGGTGTGTCGCTGAAAGAATGGAGGAAGGGGAACAGGGCTCCTCTGCCCACTGCAGTGGGCGCAAGCACGCTTCCTGACCTTGGTCTTGACTCCTGTAGCCGCCAACGCCACACAGCCCATTCATATGGTCTACGTCCCCTCCCACCTCTACCACATGCTCTTCGAACTCTTCAAGGTGAGGAGGCCCTGCAGGCCCTGCGAGGGGGAGGCTGGGGTCGGCCCTTCCCAGGGTGCCATTAGGGCTGGCCTTTCTCCCAGCCTGTCCCTCCTTCCCTCCCAGAATGCCATGCGGGCCACTGTGGAGAGCCACGAGTCCAGCCTGGTTCTCCCCCCTGTCAAGGTCATGGTGGCCTTGGGTGAGGAAGATCTGTCCATCAAAGTATGTGACCTTTGACCACGGGATGGGGAAGACAGCTGGTCAAGGGGGCCGGGGTGGGGCCTTGACATGTCCCGTGTCCCCTAGATGAGTGACCGAGGTGGGGGTGTCCCTTTGAGGAAGATCGAGCGCCTCTTCAGCTACATGTACTCCACAGCCCCCACCCCCCAGCCCGGCACCGGGGGCACCCCGCTGGTGAGAGCCTTCACCCTGTCCATCCTGCCATCCCTGCCGGATGCCTGTCTCTTCTGTCTCTTGGTCTCTTTGTCCTGGCCTCCTGGCCCTCTCATCCCGCTCCTGCATGCGCATGGCCACCTGCCTGCCCTGCATCTGTCTGTCTGCCCTCCTGTTGCCTTTCCGAGATCCTCCTGTTCCCTGTCCTCCCACAGTTCCAGCCTTTCTTGCATTGTTCAACTTGGTGAGGACTCCGTGTCCCTCCCGTGCCGGAGGCAGGCCCAGGGTTGGGACACGAAGGCTCAGAGGAGCCCATGGCCGCCCTCTCTCTGCCTGGCCCTCCTCCTCTTCCGTCTTCTCACTCAGCCCCGCCCACTCCGCCCAGAGCCTTCTCTCTTGTGTCCCGGCCACACCCGTTCCGAGACCCCTGCACAGCCCCAGCCCTCTGCTCCCGTCCCTCTCACTCCAGGGGCCAAGCACGGGTCCCCCCATCACATCGTCCTCCTGCCCCCGCAGGCTGGCTTCGGTTATGGGCTGCCCATTTCCCGCCTCTACGCCAAGTACTTCCAGGGGGACCTGCAGCTCTTCTCCATGGAGGGCTTCGGGACGGACGCTGTCATCTATCTCAAGGTGAGGCCCGCTGGAGAAGGCGTGCAGGCGGACATCCCCCATTAGGTCACCGGTCCTTCCCACCACCCTTTCCTGGGTCCAGGCTCAGAGTCCAAGCAAAGCCACAGTTGCTGGACACGCAGCCCAGACACGCAGAGCGTGGCAGGGAGTCCAGGGTGTGTGTTAGACCAGGCAGGGAAGGGGAGCCTGGAGATCTCCTTGTTGGGCTCAGAAGGGAGGCCTGAGGACTGGTGTGGTGACCCGGGTCAGGCTCACATGGCCTGGCCTCCTCGTCTCCCTCCCCGACCCTCGGAGGGGTCAGCCTCTTGGGTGGGCAGGAGCAGGGCACAGAAAGGATAGACCCTGTTGTGGGCTTCAGCCAGTGTCCAGTGGCCGGGCAGACTCTGACTCGCGTGGGACAGGAAGGGGTGAGCACTAAGGCCAGGGAGGAGGAGTGCACAGGCGCAGGACATGGATCGCTGACCCTGCCCTGCCGTCCTCCAGGCCCTGTCCACAGACTCGGTTGAGCGCCTGCCTGTCTACAACAAGTCCGCCTGGCGCCACTACCAGACCATCCAGGAGGCCGGCGACTGGTGCGTGCCCAGCACGGAGCCCAAGAACACGTCCACGTACCGGGTCAGCTAGGGGCCCCCCCGTGCCTGCACACAAGAGGATGGACTGCTGCCTCTGGGGCCGGCCACCATGGGGACCCCCCTCAGCAGGCGGAGGTGGGGGGTCTTCCTGATGACCAGGTTCTGTCCATGGCAGTCACTGCAGTGGCCGGTCTGTGGTGGTCCCTAAGTGCCAATCTGTCTCCATGGAGATGCCTAGGTGGTCTCCCTGGGGTCCAGTCTTTGTGGGCGACGCCTGAGGGCTGGGGCTCATGGCTTCACCCTGACGGGCTGTCCCGACACCCTGTCCCATGGTGGTCGCCCTCCCGGCAGCGGCCCGGGACCCCCACCACCCCGACTGCCTGCCACAGCCCTGGTCTTCCAAGCGGATGCCTTGCTTGCCTTATTCTGCACCACTGGGGCACACTGCCTGGCTGCTGTCAGTGCCAGGAGGGCCCCGGTGCCCCCAGATCCGGGAGTGGGTGGGAAAGGGGGTGCACCCTTGGGCCCGGGCTGGGGTCCTGGTCTTGGAGTTCCTCCCACCACTGGGCATTAAGGTCAAGGTTGGTAGGAGCAATGGACACAGCTCTCACCAAGCTCACCCCTAAAGGGGAGGAACCCAAAAGACCCAAAGGTCACCTGCCCACCCAAGGACCCTCAGCGATCTTGGCCATGGTGGCAGCGCCTCCCACGCCCTTGCCCAGCATGCCTGCACGTGCATGGCCCGACCTGCCACCACACACCTGCTGTGTGCCTGAGCTCCAGACCCCAGCGCCCACTGTGCCGACCCTGTGCCTGGTGCCCCCACCCCTATGTTCTCTACATAGCTACTTTTGTAACCCGGATGCCCCCGCCCTTCCCCTCAGCACACAGGAGGTTAAAGCTGTGTGCTCCTCCCAGTGGCTGTGACAGTGACATCCACAGTAAAGAGATCAAATGACACTGTGGCCTGGCTGCGTTGCTGGGGGAGGGGATTCACGCGCACACACACACGTACGCACACACGCACACGCACACGTGCAAGCAGCCTGCAGGGCCTGTGACCAACACAGGGTGCGCTTGGGACCTTGGCCCGGCTCAGGACTTGCCCAGTATGCACCATAGCATAGCACCAGGCAGAGCCACACACTCAGGATGCCTGACTGCCCAGCACCAGGGACAGGCCTGTGGCCCCAATACTCTCAGAGCCCTTTAGTCCCCGTGTCCCTGCCCGACCCCCCAGCTGGGGCAGACAGAAATGCCACTGGCACATCGTAAGTGTTTATTGAGAGAAACTGAGGACTGCCTCCCCCCACATGCAGGTGGGCACCTACTATGGCTCCTGACCAGCCTCCCCGCCAGGCCCAATGGTGCCATGCTCTGTATCTTAATGTCCCTTTGAAGTCCCTCTCTCTGCACAGATGGCCAAGGGGAAAAAAGGGCTGATCTCAGGGACAGAGCCTGGCCCTAAGCCACAGCCCTGGGCAGGAAGGAATGTGTCCGCATGCATTGATCCTGCCTACTGCTCCAGCACATGGGAGGGGTGGACAGGGCTCCTATCAGAAGCCCCCAGGCCCCACCAGCGACTGACCAGTGTCCCCGGAAATGGAGCTAGCAGCTAGTCAGCACAGCCCTGGGCGCTGTCTCTGGCCATCTCCTAAAAAGGACAGATGCCATCCCCAGGCTGATGGTAAATTCTACCCTCTGCTAGGGAGCCAGAGCCTGCACTAAGGCTGAACAGTGGCCTGGGCAGATGGGGGACAGCCAATGAGCCCCTCCAATCCAGTAGCTACTAGGTGACACCCCAGATTTTGCCTCTGCCTGGCTGGGGTGAAGGCTGGTGGGGAGGGGACCCCTCTGTCCCCTCCAGCTCCCTCATTTGCTGTGTCCCCAGAGAGGGCTCAGGAGCACTCTGCGGGAGCAGGAGAAGCGGGACCTGGCTCAGCAGGTCAAAGAAGTGCCAAACAGCCCTTCCAGGAGGGCAGGTGTGTGGGGGGGCGCGCCATCCCACCCACAGGGACCCGCAGGACCGGGAAAGGGTCTTTGGCCTCCTGTCCCTCCAGAGGTCCCCAGAGGCTGGACCCCTCCCCGACACCCCCTGCTGCTCTCTGCTGTCCCGTGGAGGAGCTGGTTGGGACTCTACCCTGGCTGTGACTAGCTACAGTGCCCAGTGAACCCCGCAGCCACCTCAGAGGGATACAGCTCTCTCACCTACCCCTGCCAAGACGCCCGGCCTTCTTGGAGCCTGCGGCCCCTGGCCTGTCCCAGGACCCCTAGGGCACAGGCAGGCAAGTGCTGCAGCTCATGTCTGGCCCAGCGCCACCCTGGCTGGAGGCAGAGGGTCAGCTGGACCCGCGGGCACTCAGGCTTGCTTCAGCCTGGGCCTCTCTGCCTCTCCCCTTCCTCTGGCTCCCCCAGGAGCTCTGTGCCAAGCAAGTCCTGGAAATCGGGTTTATTTCGGGCCCTCCCCCTGGGGTCTCCCTCCGGGGGACTCTGGGTCCAGACGGGGAGAGGAGCACGTGCCCCGAGAATGTGGGCCAGGCCAGGCCAGCCCAAGCCCGGCCCAGGCCCAGCCTCCCTGGTGAGGCCTGCGCCTGCCGAGCTGAGCCGAGCAGGGGGTGCCGTGCCCAGTGCTGCGTGCCCTGCCCACCCCTAGCTCTTCTTGGCCTCCTGCTCACGCCGCCGAAGCTTGTCTCGCTGCCGGGCTGCCTTCTCCTGCGCCTTGCGCTCCTTCTCCGCGGCTGCCGCCAGCTCCTTCAGCTTCCGCTTCACCAGTGCCCGGTCATGCGCATTGCTGAGGCCCAGGCTCTGGGGAGGAATCCCAGGGTGGGGAGGGAAGCTCACCCGAACCCTCTGCCCAGCCCTGCCAAACTGGTTCTTCTCTGCCCTCAATGCTCCCTGCAGAGCCTTGAGGTCCTCCCAGAAGTGTGGCCTCTTTCTGCTCCCACACAGTGAGCTGCCCTGCCCAGATCTGGAGAGCGAGTGGCTGGAGGACAAGAGGGCTGAGCAGGAGACCAGCCAGGAAACCCAGCAGAGATCAGAGGCCACCCCTCTACCCTGTCTGTGACACACTGCTACCAGCTCCTCTGACGAGAATCAGAGTCAACCAACCCAGGGTTGGGGGCGGGAGATGTCCCTGGGAAACTTACTCAGTCCTGAAGGACAAGGTCAGCCTGGAGCAGAGCTCAGATTGGGTGGGGGGCTTGAGATTCAGGTTGGATTGGGGTCCCCAGTGAAAGGGCAAAAATTGGACAACGACCTTGCCTAGAGGTCACAGGTCCGGGCAATGACTAGAGATGGGGTGGAAAGGCCAGCCAAGGATGCTGGGCTGGCAGGTGAAGGTCAGGATGAGGGTCCCCGATCCTGAAGGTTGCCTCAGCTCCTGCTGGGTCATGACCTTGCACTTTGACCTACCTTCAGTTTGCTTCCGTCCAGCTGCAGCAGCTGCGGCCCGTCCACCTGCCGGGCAGCGAATTCGGCAGCATACTGCTCCAGGCTCAGGCTCTGCAGCCACTGGCCCACCTGCTGGCTGGTCCAGTGCTGGACAGCAGGGAGGGGCTCATCTAGGAACTGGGCAGAGACCACAGGACTGAGGGGGCTCGGCCTGCCCACCGGCCCCCCCGGGGTACTCAGGCCAGCTCTGCTCACCTCATCTGAAGACTGGGACAGGGTGTGGTAGGGGTAGGAGCACTTGACTTCCTCTTGAGGTTCGCTTGGGATCTTGGGGCTGCTGCTAGGTGGTGTGGAGTCGTCACTCAGGGTGGATTCCTGGATGGGAAGGTTCGAGTTTACCCCTAAGCCAAGGGAGCCCTCTGCAGCTGAATCCACCCCACAGAGGTGGGGGCCAAAGTCCTAGCCTAAGCCCCAAATTTGCTGGGTGCCCCTGTCCAGGAGCTTGGAGCTGCTAGGACACAGGCACAGGCCATGGTGACTTGTGTGAGGCATTAGGACCTGAAGGTAGGCAACCATACAGAAGACTCGGGGCTATAACTAAGCCAGACAGAATCTGGCGAAAGGTGCTGCTTCCTACACGCAGCCTACTGGGATTCCCCCAGGCTGGGCCAGGTGTCCCAGGTATGAGCCTCCCACCTGGCCTCTAGCTCCCCAGCTGGCATTTGCCCTCACTGGGCTGTGTCTTGATGGCCATGGTGTCCCCAGGGCCCAGCACAGGGGAAGGAAGAGTGAGAGACAGAGGAGGTGTGTGGATGAGTCCTGGGTAAATCCCTTATTTCTGGACCTTCACCTGCTCATCTGCCCAATGGGGAGGAGGATGCCTGCCTCCCTGCCTCACCGTTAAAGCAAAAACAAGTATCGGGGGCTTTATACACTGTCGAGTGCTGTGTGCACAGGCACTGCCTCAGTTCCTCTGTCTTACATCACAGGGCTGTGAGCTTTCAGGGCATGGTGCTGGGGCCCTATGCATCTCTATTTCTGAAGCTTCACCCACCAGGCAGGTGCCTGGCCCTTAACAAGCTGAGGCCTCAGAACTGAGCCCGACAGAACAGTTAGCTGTCAGGCCTGGAGACACAGGCTGAGTGAATGGTAGGGGCATCAGCATTCAGAGATGAGGCTGGAATGGAGCAGGCAATGAATGAGTCCAGGAATGAATGAATTCCTCAGAATATGAATGAGTAAGCAGAAGAATGAATGAATTCGGAGGATGGATGAAGTAGTGGATCTCTGAGTGGCTCCATGGATGAACAAAGGGACAGCAGGGAGGCCTGGACCACAGCAGGAAGCGTGTCCTCATGTCACCGGAGTCTAGGGGCCAGTTGGGGTACAAGAAAGTCCCAGGCTTACCTGGGAGGCTGACTTCTTAGGGCTGAAGCCCTCGTGTTTTGGGGAGCAGGCTGGGGAGGTGGTGCTGCCTGAGGATGCTGTGCCCTTGCCGCTGTCCGTGAACCAGGAAAAAGGCAGGAACGGTGAACCCCCTGACCTGCCGGAGCCCTCCACTGACTCCCTGTGGAGAGAGCGTCATGCATGGGTGTGGGCACCCGGGGTCAGTGGAGGCCAGGAAGGGCTGCCGGGGCACCTCTCACCTGCTGCCCATGGACAGGCGGTTGCTGCCCTTCTCCTTCCGGCTCTTGCCAGTGGAGGCCCGGCGGAGGGTGACCCTGTGGGAGGGAGGGAAGTGGGCCCAGTTGCCCACGGTGCCACCCTCACCCCTGCAGCTCTGAGCCCTGTGTCCTCCACTTACCCCAGGTCCAGGAACTTCCGGCGAGTCTTCTTATCCAGGCTGATAGTGGGGCTGGCGGGCTCAGGAGGGCTGGTGTCCCGGCTGTCATCTTCGGGGGAGAGAGGGAAGGAAATATCCCAAGTGGTGGCTTGCTGGGGAGACGAGGGGGTAGGAATTCTCTTGACAGAATTAGGCAGTCTGGCTCTGGTGCCCTTCACTAGCTGTGTGACCTAGGATATGTCGTGTTCCCTCTCTAAGCTTCCTTCCCCTCGAATATGAGGAAAATAACACTTGCCCCTTTTGTGGTACCTAATGCGATGCTCAGGAGAGCCTTTTACAAACTGTAAAGCACTTCACAAACTCAAATCGCAGGGATCACTACTACTTACTGTTAATTTTATTCTGGTTGTTTCTCTCCTAAACCAAGAGGACAGGGCGCCTCTATTTACGACCAGCAACCCAGCAGCACCTGGCACAGGAGCCCGCGTCTTTAAACGAGCGCAGGGCCCTGCAGTCCCGGCGCGTGCCGGCAGGGGACGTCGCGCTCACCTTCGCTGTGTGGCTCGGCGCGCGGGTGGCGGCGCACGAAGCTCGGGGAGCTGTCGGAGGAGGGCGCGGAGCGTGGCGGCGACCCCGAGGCGCCGGCCAGGCCCTCGTGCGACGCGGCGTTGTGCAGGGGCCGGTAGCGCGCGAGCGGCGAGGGCGGTGGCTCGTCCTCGTCCAGGCTGCGGCGCAACCCCGGAGGCTCCAGGCAGAAAGAGCCGCCGGCCGGGGAGCCCGGACCCGCGTGCAGAGGCGAGCGCAGCCGGTGCAGAGGGCTCCCGCAGCCGTCCGTCACCTGGGGGAGGGCACACTGTCCGCTGCACCCGAGACGAGCACGTCTGGGACCTCCTGGGGCCTGCAGGGAGGGTTTCCGCGTGTCCCAGGACTGAGGTGAGGTCTGCCTGCTTCACTTTCTAATTAGAGTATGATTGGTACTGAGCCCTCCTGCCTTAGCTTCCTGTCTGTAAGATAGGGTATTACCTTCCTCAGAAAGGTAGTGTGGGCCAGAGTTTGGTAGCATTTCTGTCAGATGCTTGGGTACAGAGATGATCCAGGAGCTGGAGGGGTGTGTGTGTGTGCGCGTGCATGCGTGAGTGCTGTCCCCACCTTGCCTCCGGGCCCATCGGAGCCTTCGCCATCCTCAGCAGAGCTGGCGCTGTCCCGAAGCCTGGAGCGGGAGGGCCGGTGTCTCCGGCCCTTGGCCAGTAGCTGGGCCCGGGCCTTGTGTAAACTGCTGTCCAGTCTGGCGGTCTCTGGCACAGCCAAGTCCAGGTCTGCAAACGGGATGAAGGGGGCAGAGACCACAGGCTGGGGACCGGCCAGGGCAGCTCATGGACACAGCACAGACCACCCTGTCTGCAGCTCAAACCCCCGTCTGGGTCCTAACGTATGGATAGGACTCTGCAAATGAGGGAGGAAGGAGGGAAGCAGGGCAGCACCTCCAGGGGTGCTAGGAGGAGGCTCCATGAGAAGAAGGCCTGGGGGACCAGGCTGCAGTGACCACAGTGACAATGGCTCAGAGAGGTCAGGTCCCTTGACCAAAGCTGTCAGCCAGAAGTAGCCTGGGATTGGAGCCTGGCTGGTCTAATTCCAGCAACTGGCCCTGCTGGGGACACTGTCTTGTGTCTTGCTGTGCCACATTCAGGGTTAGCAGCACTGAGCACATGGGGGCTGCAGTGGAAAGGCAGAGAGACCCCACGGGCCAGTGGCAATGGCAGTGGCAGGAAGAAGTCCCCCGGGCATTTGAAGCCTGCCCCTGCCATGCTGGGGTCTGTGGTCCTGAGCTAGTTCCCGCATGACACCTCGAAGGAAGAGTAGGTGAACCCCATGGATCCTGCAGAGCACCACTTCCGGGTCAGAGTTTTCACGTTTCCTGTGCCCTCCCTGGGAATGGCCTCACCCTGTACTGACCCTGACCTTGGGCCTGGGGTCTCCAAACAAGAAAGATTCTTGTGGGCCTTAGGATGGGTCAAGGCCATTCCTCCTTACCCTATCCCATCCCCTCATGCCCAACCTGCCTTGCTTATTCCCCTCTTGTCTGTAGACACCGCTGAAGTCACCCGTGGCTTAATGATCACTTATGTCTATTTCCAGTCCTGTCCCCTCCCCTGAGGGAACTTGGTTGGTTGAAGGCCTCCAGACACCTCAGATTCAACCCATCAAAAGTAATCTATCGGGCTGGGGATTTAGCTCAGTGGTTTCGGCGCCTGCTGCGCAAGCGCAAGGACCCAAGTTCAATCCCCGGCACCAAAAACAAAACAAAACAAAACAAAAAAGTAGTACATCAGATGGGACTGGCGGTGCACACCTGTAATCCCAACACTCAGGAGGCTGAGGCAGGAGGATCACCTCGAGTTTGAGGTCAGCCTGGGCTACATAGTGAGTTCAAGGCCAACCTGAACTATACATCGAGACCCTGTCTCAAAAAATAAGCAAAACGTGGCCAGGGATTTAGCTCAGTGGTTCCGCCGCCTGCCTCGCAAGCGAAAGGACCTGAGTTTTATCCCCGGTACCAAAAAAAAAAAACCAAGCAAAACAAACAAAAAAGGAACCCATCAGCCAAGTGTGGTGACACATGCCTATAATCCTCAGGAGGCTGAGGCAGGAGGATTGCAAGTGTGAGGCCTTAGCAAGCTGTCTCAAAAAGACAAACCCAAGCCCGTTGTCTTGCCTTGAAGACACTCCTCCTCTCTTCCTCAGCTCACTAAAAGGCCCACTGTGTGCCGAAGTTACCAGAGCCAGATGTCTGCTAACTCCTGTGTCCAATTATCCTCTTGGCACCTGTGCTTGGATGCCACCAGGCATCTTCCACTTCCAAGCCCACGTTGGACGCCTGGCCTCCGCCTCCCCATCCATGAGAACAGCAACCCCATCTTGCAGTGGCTCAGGCCATACCCCTGGGGGGGTCATCCTCGATGTCATTCGCACCTTGGAGCCTGATCCAGCCACTATTCCTCAGCTCCACTTTCAAAATATAACTAGGTGCCCTGGAATATTTATGCGGAAGTGATATGATGTTTTGGATTAAGTTCAAAATAATCCAGGGCCATGGGGGTAGAAGTGGGTAGAGGAGAAAGACTGCCCCGGACTGGCATGGTGGAGGCGGGGTGACAGAGAACTCTTGTGCTCCACTCCTGCGGCCGCGCACGTCTGAGGGTTTCCCGAGACGAACTACTGCTTCCGCACATGCCCACGCTCATATTCATGTCCGCATGTGGGGCAGAGAACCCACGGCCTCCCTGGCCCAGGTCAGCATCCTCTTTCCTCCATGACTACACAAAGCCTCCAGCTGGTCTTCCTACCTCCTCCCTTCCCCATGCAGTCTTATTTTCAGTATAGCAGCAGCAGTCAGAGTGATCCTAATGCAACATGTCAGCTCTGTCACTCCCCCACCCTGTACCCTCTGGTGATTCCATCCCCCATGGAGCAAGAGCCATAGTTTTCCCAGCAGCCTCTCAGACTTGTTCTGTGCTCCCCTCACCTCTCTGAGATGCTGCTTCTCTCCATCCCATGAACCCTGGACCCCAGGGCCTTTGCAAATGCTCTTTTGCCTTCCTAGAAGGATCCTGCCAGATTCCCGAGTGATTCTCTCACCCAGTTCCTCAGGTTTTTGCTCAAATGAGGCCCTCTCTGACTTCTCAATTTCTAACACCTTCCAGAGCCCCACTCCTATTTTTCCTACATCATTCATCATCCTCCAGCATGAAGAATACACACTCAAATTACTAGTTTTTTCCATCCATTAGAATATCAGCTCCATGTGGACAGCCTTTTTGTTCCCCACCACTGGCACAGGACAGTGCCAGGCACACAGTGATAGTAAATACTATTTGAATGGCAGAACAGATCTCTATTGATTGGGCTTCCCCAAAGGAACCTGGCCTGTCCCCTCCATCTGGACTGAACTGTCCCGGCTCAGGCCTCTGCCAGCAGCTGCCATCCCAAGCATCAAGCTCTCCCTGGCTCAGAGTGCAGCTCATGCCAGGAGCTCTTCGAGGCTTTGCTGGCTGGGGGAGCTGCAGTCCGGGACCCAGGCTGCACACTGGTCCCTGAGCAGCCCCTGCTTCACTTCAGTGTTTTCACCCCCAGGGCTGAGCTGGGGGGTGGGGGCCCTCCTTTCCCAGGTCCCAGGCACAGAACCTCTGGGCCCTGCCTGGAAGCAGCAGAGACTGAGGACTGAGCCGAACTGCAGAGCAGTGAGAGCTGCTGTGCTCTCAGGTGCTGGGTGCTGCCCCGGGTCTGCACAATCACTACGCAGCTCATCGAAACCTTCTGGAACCCAAGGAGTGAGGGACTCCAGGAAGCCGCAGGGCAGCCCTCATGTACTCAAGGGGACACAGTTGGTAAGAGCTTGCCTGGGTTACAGACGGGCAGCCTGGCTTGTTTGTAGCCACCATGCATGCTACATCCGTGTATTCTTTCTCCCTCTCTCTTTTTTGGGGGGGGAGGGTACTGGGGATTGAACTCAGGACCTTGCACTTTCGAGGCAGGCTCGGTGCCACTGAACTAAATCTCCGGCCCCTCTCTCTCTCTTCTTTTGAGACAAGGTCTCACTATGTAGTTCAGGCGGGCCTTGAACTCACTACATAGCCCAGGCCAGCCTTGAACTTGCGGTGATCCTCCTGCCTCAGCCTCCTGAGTGCTGGGATCACAGTTGACCATGACGCCTGGTGGGATATCCTTTCTGAAGTAGAGACGGGAGTGACTCTGAGTCCAAACCTTCATTTCATGGGTGGGAAACTGAAGCTCAGAGAGGAAAGGCCTGGTCTGGGTGCAGAGGGAGTTAGGATGGTGTCCAGGTCTCTTGAATCCTCTGTTCTCCTGGCACTCAGGCAACTTGTACCTGGGAGAAAGACCCTCTGCTCCCAACTCTGGGCCATGCAGGCATCTTAAGGTGGAGAAGGCGGAGGGCACAGGGGCTCCAGAGGGCTTGGGGCCTTGAGGCAAGGTGGGGCGGCCTCTCTGGGTTTCTGGGCCACCAGCCCCTCCATCCCTTTTCCATCTCTTCCCTGTTCTCTGCTCCTCCTCCTCCTCCTCCTTTCTCCCCCTCTTCCTCCCTCTCTAGGCCCTGGGCAGTGGAAGTAATGAATATTTAATCGCTTTTCACATCAGGAAGCAGAGCTCAGCTACCTCAGCAAAGAAGAGGAAAACAAAAAGGGTTGGGTGGGAGCAGAGGGTAGGGAGTATGGGGAGTGGAGGCAGAAAAGCCCAGCGAAGGCAGAGCTCGCCTGTCAGGCCAGGGTCAGGGAGGGCCTGGGCTGGAGCTGAGGCCTTGGGAGCACCAGCGAGCTAGGGTGGGTGGGGGTCCTGGCGCGGCAGGGAGGAAGAGGACAGAGGAAGGTGGAGACAGAGAGAGAAGGGTGCCAGGGCGCTGAGGCACAAGAGCCCTCCAGACTGCACACCTCCCGGGAGTCCTCCCTGCAGCCAAGCCCAGCCGCCTTCTGGCCCAGTGCCTGCTGGGAGCTCTGCCCCGCTGGGTCCCCCTGACGGCCCGGGTGGCGAGGCGAGTCGTCCACACCAGTGTGCGTCAAGGGCTGGCCTGGGGCCCGGAGGCAGAGTGTGTGCTGCGCAGCCATGTAGGGTGAGGTTCTGCGCCCTCCTGTATGAGACTGGGAGGTCTCGTGTGGCGTCTGGTTGGAGTAGACAGGCGTACAGTACAGGGGGTAGGAGCAGGGAGTCGAGCAGTCTGAGGTTCCAGCTTGGCCACTAACTTGCCATGTGATCTTTTTTGTTGTTTTTGAGTCATAGTCTCGCTATGTAATTCGGGCTGGCCTTGAACTCACTTTGTAGCACAGGCTGGCCTCAAACTGGAGACAATCCTCCTGCCTCAGCCTCCTGAGTGTGGGGAGTATAGGCATGCGCCACCACATCTGACTATTGCCATGTGATCTTTAAAGCAAACCACTTCAGCACTCTGCCCCCTACACTCCTTGTGTGTAAAGTGGGCTTCTTACACACACACACACACACACACACACACACACACACACACGCAGGAGCCCACCCTGCCCAAGTCTGCTTTTCTCTATTTAGGGCCCAGGGTGTTGGGAGGATGTGCTGTATGGCTCTGTCTATGCTATAGACAGAACCACAAGAACTTACCAAAAACCTCATCGGCGGGGTCTCGGAGCTTTGAAGAAGCCATGACTCAAGTGAGCTGAGAGGAGAGAGAGAGACAGACAGACAGACACTGGATAAGTTCAAGTTGGTTGAGTCTGGAGAGGGGCCCAGGGCTTCCTGCTCCTGGCCCACTGTCCCTTACCTTCCCTAAAACCCTTCCTGCTGCCCCGGAAGGAGAAGCCACCTGGCTCTTCCCCCAGACTGGAAGGTGCTGGGCAGGAGGCTGAGGCAGAAGGCTGGGCTGAAGCCAGTCCAGGGCAGAGACACAGCAGAGCCCTGAGTGCTGGCTGGAGCCAATCAGCTGTTGACTTCACACCCAGCCGTCTCGGGCCTCTCCATCATTAGCACCCCCTAATAGCTTTCAGTCATCATAAACTGTCCAACATCAAGTCTCGGGAAATCACGGAGATTATTAAATTCAATCCTCTCATTTTACAAGCACAGAAACAGAGGAGGGAGTGGCTGGCCGAGATCACATAGCAGGTTAATGTCAAATACAGGCTCTTCCACCCATCCATCCACCTACCCATTTATTTACTCATCCATCTATCCATTCACCTATCTGTCCACCCATCCACCCCCTCCATCTGTCTGTCTGTCCATGCATCCATCCAATATCCAGCCCTCCATCCATAATCTCCCACCATCCGTCTACACACCACCTTTGCAGCTCTCCATTCTCCATCCACCTTTCGCCTGCCTGTCATCCAATCCTGCCCCTCCTCTGCCCTCCCCACCCTGCCTCATGGGGCCCTCTCCACCTGCTTTTCTGAACATGAGCTGCTCAGGAAGCTGGCACCACCAGCAGGGCCACTGTTCTAGGATCTCACTGCTCACGGACCTCACGGTTCTTGACAAACACACAGATTCGGGAGGGAGGGAGCAGTGCTCGAGGCAGAACAGTGGACAGTCAAGCTTCCGAAGCATGGAGATGTTCTGGGAAGAGGTGTGCAGGGACAGGGCTGTTTTGTTACTGTGTTTGGTGGGAGGCCAGGTAAGGAAGCGGGATCCATGCAGCTGAAGAGAGGTCACGCACAATCCACTCCTCCTCTTCAGTTACTTCGCAGACATATGCTCACTGTGAGCCGGCCAGGCTTGGAATCTTAGTGGCCCCACTTTACAGATGTGGAAACTGAGATGCAGGAGTTAAGAGGAGGAGCTCTAGCCTGACCCTGGTCTCCTCCCTCTCAGCTCTATCCTGGGGGACAGGACACTGCCCGGAGGAGACTGGGGTGGAGGGAAGGGAGTTGGCCCATACTGGCTAGCATTAGGGCGGCCCCAACCATGGCTACCCTGGCCCAGCAGGAAATAAGGTGTGGGGTGTTCAGGGCCTCCAAGAACCCTCCTGCCATTCTTGAAGACATGTGGCCAAGATCTAAATATTTCTTCCCATTCTCAAAGGCCAGATGCAAAGGAAAAATGTCCCTTAGAAAGAACCAAATTCCATCGCTGGGTTATAATGCCTTATCTGACAAGGACCTCCTTGCCACTTCCTCCAGAAAGCTGTCCTAGGTAGCCCTCCTTCCTCCCATTTGTCTACAATTCCCGTTTCCAAATCCATCCATTCCCAACCACTGGAAAATGGAGAATTTGGGATACCTCCATTGATCCCCTATATAGATCTTCTCTCTCTGACAGGGGACCCCCTGAAGTTAGGAACTGCCTCTCCCATGGAATGGGGACTCTCCACAGGCAGCCATGTGCCTCCTGTCTTAGACACAGAGAATGGACAGCCATGTGTCCTTCATTAGGGGCCCCAGTCCAGTACTGAGACCCGCTTGTGGCTGGCGAGTACCCCCCAGGACGGGCTGGGGCCTCCAGCTCCCACCCCTGGTTGGACCATCCTGATTCAGCACAAACTGCCTTCTCTCCTTCCTCCAAAGGCCAGCTCCTTTCCGTGTGGCCTGGGGGACTCTCCCTACACTGTCCCATGGGGAACTCCAGGGGAGCACCATATCAAGGAGGTGGCCAGACCCTTGCCATCCAAAGTTCTCCTTCCCAAACTGAGCCCTGGAAAATTAGCCAACCCACCCTTAAACACACACACACACACACACACACACACACACTCACACACACACTCAACCAGGTAACTCCCCCCACCCAGCTCCTAGGGGAGCATCCGTGACTCCTGACCCTTCTCTGGGCCAGAGGCAGGTGAGCTCACAGATAGCTAGGACCCAAAGGAAGGAAGGAAGGAGAGAAAGAGAAGGTGCCCATCCTGGGGAGGCCGCTGGAGTAGGAGCCAACAGCCATACAGACTGGCGGGGTCCACAGGAGCAGAGAAGAAAGCACGAAAGAGCGGCCAGAGTCCGGCCAGGGCAGCCTGGGGAAGAGGGCTGTTGGCCCTGAGCAGGCCGGTGCAGAGGAGGGAGAACCACTGCCCTGCAGCAAGAGGAAAGAAAGGGGCCCAGGAAGGGGGGTGACCGGGGAAGGCGGGGAAGGGGGGACGAGAGGTCGGTGGTAGCGGTTGTAGGTTAGGGAGGCGGTGCCTCTCCCCACGCCTGCTGGCGCGGACACCCCGTCAAAGCCCCCTGGAGATGGGGGGACAGGCCATCTATCCTCCGGGGGCCCCTCTCCCGCATCAGGAGGGTGAGCAGTTTCTCTCCAACCCCACCAGTCCAACTCCGCGCCGGGCAAGGAGGAGTTAAACCCCGTCCCCTTCCCCCACACCAGTTTTTCATTAATTTCCCCGGGCGGGAGGGAGGGGATTAGGGACACAAATCCTATCCCCGCCCCCTCCCCTGACAGCCCAGCTCCCCAGCCTGTGCGGTCCCCCTGGGGATCGGGAAGAAAGACCCTGGTCGCTGGGCTCCATCCAACCCCCCTCGGGGTCCCGCTCCCCAGTGCACCCCTCACCTCCAGCCTCGGTCATCTTCAGCGTCCGGCGCCTCGGGAACCCCTCAGGCCCATGGTGCTCGAGGCGGGGCCCGGCGGGAGGGGCAGGGGCCGTCACCCCGGCCGCGGGGGGCTGCGGGCCGGCTCGAGCCGCTCCATGCCGGGTGGGGGTGGGGTCGGCGGGGAGGGCCCCGAGGCGGGAAGGTACGGAGCGCGGACAGGACGGGACCGAGGGCGAAGGTTTGCGGGGAGAAGCAGGAGGCGCGGGCGGGGCTGGACCGGAGGACCTGACGGGAGGATGCTCGGTGTGTGCGTGCGCGCGTGTGTGTGCGCGTGTGCGTGTGTGTGTGTGTGCGTGTGTGTGCGTGTGTGTGGAGAGCGGGAGGGAGAGCGCGAGCGCCACCTCCCGCCCCGCCCCCGCAGTCCCCGCCCGCCAGGCTGAGGCGCTCGGCGTCGCGTCCGCCCGGTCTGCGGGGGTCCCCGGGCTGTGTGGTGGGCGCGCGGCGGGGAGGCCAAGCGCCCCGAGACAAAGAGCCGGGGGAGGGGCGGCCGGGACGGAGGGGCGGGGGCGGAGGGAGCGCGGCCCGGCCGGGGACCGAGTCGCAGCTACTAATGGGGCCGCGGGGGACGCTGCGCCCCGAGTCTGCGCGGGGCGGGGCGGGGCAGCCGGGCAGGCGGCCCCACTTTGGGACCCACGGGCTCCTGGCTCCTCCGCAGGGTCTGGGAGGGCACCTGATTCATTCATTTAACGAACATGCCCGGAGACGCCAGCTGGAGTGCCAGGGTTGGAGAGGACCGCGGTGAACGGTCGGGGGAAGGGGGGTGCAGACCAGTAGGGGGCCCCGACTCACAGGACGCTTCGCGGGGAGGGCTCCTAGCCCGGCCTGGAGCTGGGGACGGGGAGGATTTCCAAATGAGATGCGTGGCTCCCCGAGCCGGCAGGGTTGGGAGAGGTGGCGGTGTGGCCTTGGGGGTGGGAGGACCACAGAGGAAGACAGGGGAGGCGCCCGCAAGGTTTGCGTTACTTTACCAGCCGAGGGTAAAAATTAAAAAACAAAAACAAGTTTACCAGAGGAGGGAGGATCTCGGATCTGCATTTAGGAAGAACCTGGGGTCCTCGCTGGGGAACAGATTGGCTGGGGAACAGATTGCTTTCGCAGCGCAGGCCGGAAGCAGGGAGCCCCCTCAGGAGACAGAGGGCATCAGGGATCATAAGATGAGAGATCAGACTGAGAACTATGCAAGATGTAGGACTGGCTTTGGGGGCCAGCTGGACAAAGAACTGAGAGAGGAGGGTCCAGCATGGAGGTGGGTCTTGGCTGGATGCTGGGAGCCCTGGAGCTGGTGGGGGTGGGGATGGATGCTCTCAGACTTGGACCTGGTGGCAGGCCAGCCAGGGGCGATAACGTTATCTCCAAGGGCTAGCTACCCTACGGCAGGGCTGGCAGCCTGGCAGAGCTGGCAGGACTGGGAGTGTGCTGCACTCTACCAAGCACTTCCCAGGTTACCTAATGTCATCCTCATGACCCTAGAGGTAAGATGTTCTCTTGCCCCCCCACTCCTACCCTGGAGAAACCAGTCTTGAGAGAAGGCCAACGCGTTGTTCAGGAGGGAGTGGTGAATGGAGAAGGGTCCAGGGCTCTGGGGAGGGGTGTGGCGTTTCAGGGATAGACTATTCCCTGGTGGCCCAAGGAGTCCACAGGCCAAGGGCTGTGAAAAGTGTCAGGTTGAGCAAGGAAGGTCCGGACTGTGGGTGAGCACATAATCAATAGTCTCAGGGGCGGAGGGTACCCCATGAGATCTGTGAGATTGGGGAGGGGGGTCCTCAGAACCTGTGGACAGCCACCAGGTTCTGGCTAGACCTGGGGAAGGGGTGGTGTCTTTGGTGGCAACATTTAAGGCTATATTTGGGGTCTTTAAAGATGATACGGTTTGAGTTCGAACTTCGGTACCAAATATATATATATATGGTCTGTGGGATGTGGCAGCGCACACCTGTAATCCCAGCTTCTCGGGTAGCTGAGGCAGGATTGCAAGTCTGAGCCCAGTCTGGGCAACTTACTCAGATCTTGTCTCAAAATAAAACTTTTTTTTAAAGGCGGGGGGGCTGAAGGTGTAGCTCTGTGGTAGAACACTTGCCTAGCATTTGCCTGTGCACGGCCCTGGGTTCAACCCCCAGTACCGCAAATAAATAAATCTTTTTAAAAGAGGATGTGGTTTGCAGGCATGTGCTGAAATGTAGGTGTGGGCTGGAGTGGGGAATTGATTATGCAACCCTGTAGATCCCAAGGGGCAGGAGATGATGGGATACAGGCAGTGATGGGCAGCAGAGGGGTGTGTACTCAGGGAGGAAGTCTGCTAGGCCACAGGACTTGGGAGGTCCCGTTCCTTGCGAGACCCAAACTCCTGGGAGCTGAGAAATCCCCCTTCTCTGATTCCCCTGCCCTAAGGCAAGTGTTGGGGTTGTGGGAAACCTGCTCAGCTCCTGAGAACTCCAAACTCCAGGGGACCTGGGTAGGGGATGGGGACTGGGATGGGACAGAAAGCTAAGGTGACAAGCCTCACACAGGACTGAGAAACTCCCAGCAAAGCCGTATACCGCACCCCCAGCAACACAACACACTCAGGCTTAGACACGAGGGGCTACTTGGCCCATCTTCTGGGACAATGTGTAAGGCCCCTCCCCTGGACTCCAGGTCAGCTAGGGACAGCAGGACTCTACCTGGATGGCAGCAGAAGCCCTCAGTTCATGTCTGCCTCCACTCACTGAGGCCCATCCGAGTCACTTCTCAGGACTTCTTGGGATTCAGTGACCACGGGGCTGCAGCCTGTGTTTGGTGGCCTGTGACCATGGATTCAGCACCTGGATCTGTCTGGTGTCCCCAAGCACTCCAAAGATGACCCACTGGCTGGAGATGCCCTGAGAGGCATGGCCACTGTCCCTAGGGATCCAGGTGACCCTCAGGTGCATGGCAGGACTGTACAGGTACCACATGACCCGGAGATGTAGATCTAGAATTTGGGGAGGGGCAGTTACGGGAAGCCACACTTCGGCCTGACAGGAATGTGACCTGTGTGGCAGAGCCATCCCCAAGGGAGTGCAGCTTCAGTTGTCACTGGAATTGAGGTAGATACCATTCATCTTAGGGTGCTAGGAACCCAGGGTGACCCTGAAGTGTCCCGTGGCTGGGAGGGGAAGGTGAGCAGCCCCTTGGGGCTGAGCCCCAGGACCCAGGCTGGCTTCTGTCCAGCATGTGCACCAGAGCACTGTCGGAAGCTCCTGTGCCCCCTACACCTCGCCTCTCCGACCCACCAGAGCTGGTCCTGAGCTCTGGCATCACCCCCAGACCCTCTAGCGCTAGGGCTGGGGGTGCAGCGGTCAGAGCTGCTGGCACAGAGCAGGGGACAGGACCTGTTTAAGACCTCTGAGGGCCGCCCCAAGAGGAACAGCCTGCAGCGCCCTGGCATAAAGCTGCCCTGCCCCACCCCCCACCCCAGGAAACCTTCGGTCCTTCTGAACCTTCTGGAGCGCCTCATCAGTGCAGTTCTCCGAGGGACTTGGGGTTAGTTTCCAGATCCAACCTATCCCTGAGTTCCAGAGGCCTTGCAAAAGGAACGTAAAGGACTGCACGAACTGTCCAGAAACCAGAAGTAGAAAGCATTGGCGATGCTGGGGGAGTGCGGGCAGAGGTAGCCTGCTGGGGACAGGGGCAGGGGATCCTGCAGAAGATCTCAGGCTCAGGCAGCCTTGAACCCTCCCCCTCCAGCGAATCAAGAAAGCAGGCAGCGACGCTCTGGGGCTGCTTTTATGGGGATGACCTGACAGAGGGCACGGTCCGTACAAAACCGGGAACAATACATACATATATATATTATATACAGAGACGGGGTCCTCCAAGGGCGGGGCGGGGGTGGCTGCGGGCCAGGAAACCGGAAGCGCCCGCGGCCCCGCCCCCTCCATCTGCCCGGGTGAAGCGCATGGGCGGGGCACCAAGGCAGCCAGCACTTGGGGGGAGGCAGGAAGGAGGCGGGGAATGGGCAAGAAATACTGGTCGATGGCGTGGTCTATTTACAGGGGACAAGGAGAAGCTGAAACGGATGGAACAGGGTCGATTTTTTAAAAAATGAACCAAAACCTAAGCTCAGGGCAGGGGCAAGGGGAGGTGG